CTAAGGAATAACAAGGAAAAAATGGAAAATCAGAATTTAAAATTTCTAATTTTGATAACTGAACATTTTGAGAATGGATGATAAGAAAACGACTGTAACAAAATGAATTCCCAATTCCCAGTTACTGCTCTTAGCCAAGCTACTACTGGTTCATCACTTGAGGCTTTGGGGAAATTCTTACCTGCTCCAGGCCTCAATCTTCTCATCTGTAAAACAGGGTTGCTGAGAGGAGTAAACAATTCCTGCAAAGCATTTAGTTAGCATAATGCTGGGCACATAAAAAGGGTGCTGTAATTTTTGTTATATTTAACAGTGGAACAGTTTTACTAGAAAACGGAAAATATGAACTCTCCAAGAAAACCACTAGTAAAAGGACAAGTGAAGACCATTACTAACAATACAAAGAGAAATGCTATTCAGATGGTCCCTTCTTGCTACTTCCTGAGTACCCAGAATGGAGATGTGTATTTGGTCTGGCGTGCCGCCTACTCTTGTTACCGAACTCAGGTTCAGCTGCTCGCCGCTCAAAAGCCAATAACTGAGGGGCAAGTGGCAGTAGAAAGGAAAGGTGCTTTATTCAGAAGAGCTGGCAATTTGGGGAGAAGGTGGACTCATGTCTGGAGACCAACTCCAAAGATTCTGTTCAGCCATGACAATTTTCAAAGGGAAAAAGGGGAAACCACCTCAGTTAATCATCAGAGTAGGAGATCAGATTCTTCTTCATTTTTCCATTGTGTGCAGACCTGCTGACTTCTGATCTTCCTTTGGATGCTCTCTTGCCTGCTTGGTTGGCCTGCAGATTTGCTAAGGGGGAAGCCAGGGGTAGAGAGTCAGTCATTCTTTAACTACTTAACCTTTCATTCTTACTCCTTTTAATCCAGGAAAGGAATCAACAGGTCAAGCAGGGCATTGTGTACATTCAGTAGAGAAGTCAAGAGTTAGGTTAAATGTTACCTAGTGATCTTCTTTTTATAATTGTTTATGGGGAATAGAAATAGACTACAGGAAAGGGGCAAAAGAGCTGCTTACAAATCCCCACTTGGCAGACATCATTCCATTTCTATGAGATTAGGGGTGAAGGTCCATCTTCTGTAACTTCTTCATGCTGACATAGGGTGTTGTTATTTTCAGAGTGGAAGATCTTGACATGGGTCTGCAGCATCTCTTTGCTGACAATTTTAGTTGCTTGCTTACATATATGGGCAGACCAAGCTACAATTATTCTAATGCCCACAAAGATATATATTATTATGAGCAATAGCGTTAATCCCGTTCTTTCATCAGACACTGAGTCTATGACTCTATTGTCCTAATCATTAACTGCTTGAGTGTGCTCTTCGTGACTCTGGGAGGCCTGGGAGACTTCAGCTTTCCTACAAACAAGAGGCAGGGGACATAGAGGGGCCTTCGGACTTGGGGGGAGGGGGCCACAGGGTTCTGCTCTGTTCCACTATGACTATGATACCTCAAAACACTTCTGATTCCTTGTATTCATTGCCTATGCTGTGTAACGAATTACCACAAACTTGACAACTTAAAACAACTCAAATTTATTATCTCCAGTTTCACAGCATAGATACTTTGCTTAGGGTCTCACTGGGCTGAAACCAAGGTGTTGGCCGGGGCTGTGGTTCTTGGTTCTCACAGGCCCTCTTCTAAGCTCACAGGTGGTTGGCAGAATTCATTTCCTTCCAGTTGCAGAACGTTTCCCTTTGAGTTGTTGGCTGGTGATCACTCAGCACTCCAGGCTGCCTGCCATTCCTTGTCATGTGGCCCCCACAGGAAATTCCCAGTGTAGATGTTTGCTTTCTTCCAGCCTCCAAAGCACTTCCCATGCACTGACTCCCCCTCCTGCTTTGGAGGAATCTTTGGCTTCTCAAGTCTCTGATGTCTGGACTGAGATTTAATGGGCTCATGTGATTAGCCCATGTAGATAATATCCTTATCTTAAGATCAACTGACCTGGGACCTTAATTACATCTGCAAATTTCCTTCACAGCAGCACCTAGAATGGTGTTTGAATAACTGGGAGAAGGTACATATTCACCCAGGGGTTGGGAACCTTGGGGGACCATTTTAAGAATCCTGTCTACCACACTCCTGAAGCACATGCTAGTCACAGGACTGAGCAGTGGTTTTTAGTGGCACTGCTGCATTTAACATTTGCCCTTTTGGCTATTTCTCTACATTCCATTTACCTTTGAATGACAAGTTGCTGAATTATCTCAAAGGCTAAGAGACATGCATTTAGAAGAGTGACATATTTTTTCTCCATGCTCTCAGGATACCTCTGAATGATGTATAATTATAGGTCTTTCACCTCTGACTCTTTGCTCGTAACACCTAAATAATCTTTGGGTCAAGGCAAGGATTTATCTGTCACACACACACACACAAAAAAAGCTTTTCAACTCAAAATTGCTTACTATTCCTCACTTCAAGATTTGAGAAGTGTCAGTTTGATCAATGTAGTCCTGGCAACAAATCAGTTGAGGTCAAGCCTGGTTTGAGGGGGTACTTGAACATGTGCTTGCCCTGAACATATATTTAATTCAGGAGCAATATATTTCACATTGTCAAATCAAGTGGCATCATTCAAGAGGCCCCTAATTCAGACACAGCTAGGCTGAGAAACCAGTAATAAAAAGGAGCAAGGGGCAAATGCTAAGCTAAGGGTGGCGGTGAAGTACAAATCATGGCTGAAATGCTTAACCTCTAGGGCTGCCAGCAACAGCTGTCTCTGCAATTGGTCCTGGTCAGGTGAAACTCCAGAACTTTTTAGATTGATCTGCATTTGGCCTACACCAGTGCTGCAAGCAACAGCTGCCCAGCAATTGGCCTAGGGAAAAAAGAGACCCCTTACCTCTCCCCCAACACACAGCAAGATCCTAAAGATCAACCTATATTCAGGTCTTTTAATATGTTCAGACATATTCTTAGTTGGTCACCAGATTCTAGATTACTCAATGCAATACACAAAGGCAACAAGAGATGGTGTAATGATTTCTTGATCATCTGGAGATATCAAAGTTTTTACTGTGTAAAGGCTGTGCTAATAGGTATCTTGGACATCATGAAAAATGTCAATATTTGAATGTATACTCACGTTTTGATCTGTGTCCCAGGGAAAACTCTAAGTTCATTTCAAATTACCTATTTTTGTACTTTTTTCTCCTTTCTTTTCTAAAAGTAATTATAAACTCTCATTTCCATGCTGTAAAGAGATTGTAAAGCCCATAAATCATAATTAAGCTGGTGTTCTTAAATTACTGAGTAATAGTCCCTTGATTCTTGAGCCTGTTTGTCCTGCTCACCCCACTTCATCCCAAAAAAAGGGAAGACAATAGGGGCACTAAATGCACTTCCTGCATTGCAGGACTAAGGCAATGTCTCTTCTCTCTCTGAAGTCATCCCTAAAACAAACTAGGACCTGACTTACCACCAGCAGAAATCAAAGCAAATTTTGGAACACACCTCAAAAGAAAAACAAAGTGAAACAATTTTTAACTACAAGTTCTATTTTTGGGGGGGGAGGGGAGCATTATTCCCAACTGCCTATAGACATGGTAGAACAATACATTGCTCACACCTAGTTAAGTGACTCCAAGTTGGGAAGAACCAAACATACTTTGGCAATATATCTGATGAGTGGGCAAGTTTATTTGTTAAAAGCTCTTACTTGGTTAAAGATTCATACTAGTACAAATTCTGGGAAAGATGTTACAATTATATTACAATATATAAGTTTTAAGAGTTATTCTATGTATCCAGTAAGTCAAGCCAAGACCAGCAAGTTATGTAATTTGGGTTTAAACCAAGAAAATGTTAGGACTACAGCTGTCCATCAATAGAATGGCTTGCCTTTTAAAGCAGGCAGTAACTTGTCTACGTTAGCATTTTAGTGTCATGGGCCCTCAAGGAAGTACCCTGCTTTGGGTCCTCTCTGGTCCCTTCTAACTTAAAACTTGTATATTCACTAACATCACATGACTGAATTGTACATTTCACTTAAATACTTTGTTGTCTGCCTTATGTTGCAATGTCTTCTCAATTGCACAGATATATAACCATCCATGCCATGAATTCTGGTGTAGACAATGCAAGAGACTTATTGTCATTTGTGAGGCTTAAAAGACTTGGGCCCTTCTTTACAATATTAGAAAAATAGCCCTAAAGGTACTCTACTTACTCAACCTATCATTCAAAATTTACACGTTGTGATTGGCAGTTAAATTTAAGAGTACCTTTCTGCTCTGAAAAATAGCTACATGTAACTTTATAGAGAAGCCATAGTATTTCAGAAATTAAAAAACTGGTTGGAAGCAGACTTCTCTTAAAAAGAAAGTGTCTAATATTAAGTTCTCTCAAAAGCAACTAAATTTCATCACAGAAACCTTTCCTGTGATTGTGGAAAAAGAACCAACTCCCGCCACACTCCCCTCTCACCCCACACACAAAACACAAAAGACTTTGAATTTCTCTCAGATATTTTGGTACTTGAGCTTTTTATTTTATGCTGATTTTTATGATTATCTAATTGTTTCATAAAGGTAATTCTTGCCTCTCTGGAACAATCCTAGTTCTGAAAGACAAGAACAACTGGACAAGAACAAGTCCTAAGTCTATCACTGACTTGCTGAATGACCCTGGGCAAATCACTAGGACTCTGTTTTTTAAGGTTCACTTACCACCAATGAAATAACCTCCTCAGAGTAGCTGGGAAACTCTCACAAGGTCATGGATCTGACAATGCCTTGGGAAGTATGAGTAGTACACAGATAAATGTTTTATGTACTTCCGCCTATTGCATGATGCCTATCCAGGATGAGGTGGATAGTAGGTGTTGACCCAACCATAGGAGAAGTAGATAGAACTATTTAAAATAACTTTAGCTCACTTTCTCATTTGGTTTATCATTTCCTCTGTATTTTTAAAAAATTATACCCTCCTTCCTCAAATAACACAAAGAACCTCTTCTCTGAGGGATTTATTGGTCCCTGTGGAACCTGCGAAGGCCAGAAACACTCACGGCCAATGAATGACAACCTATGTTTGTCTCTTCAGTCTTATAGTATCTGCAGGACTGAAGTCTGCCAATGTCCATGCGTCTGTCCAGAACATCCATACGCCCCATGCTTGTTCTGTGTGTCATGGGGACGCCGAGAGATGACACATTCAATGGTGGTACTTCAACCAGTGCGGAAGCCCTTCCCTTTGGGGTCTGACAGGATGACTACACCCCAGCAAGCAATGCCTAGGGAAAAAACAACAGTACTTTATTCTTTATGTTGTACTTCAATTTACCAGGTGCTTTCATATATATCAACTTATTTAACCCTCACAGTACTCCTTGAAGATACAATTACCATTATTTCTATCTTACAGAAAAGTGAAGCTCAGGAAAGGAAAGTTGAGAGAAAAAAAAATTGTTACTTCCCCAAAGCAAGAAAGTTACTAAAAGGGAATTGATCTGGGTAATCTAATTAAGAAGGTAAGAGATCTGAAAACTTAAAATTCTATTCACTCACTTGGTCTGAAGAGCTAAAAAAAGTCACTACATTTTACTGGACGACAGCTTGACAATCACGTAGTATTGTTACAAATAAGAACTGTGGGCCACAGTAGCCAATGGTAGACCTTAGTATGTGGGCTTTGAACCCATGTCTACAATCTACCTTCAAAGCCAAAGTTCTTAAACCAAGGTCAAGTGCTTTCACTCAGGCCTTCTCCACAATCTAGAGAAGCAGCATGGGTTTTGGTAACAGATAAGCCTGGGAATCAAAGGCTAGCTGTGTCATATCCTGGGTGTCTGACTTCAAACTCTCTGTGCAGTAAAATAGGACTACTATATTCATACCTATCTTTAATAGCTTTTGGTAGGATTAAAAAGATTGAGGCTAGTAAGAGTTCTCAAAAAAAATATTGTGATTTAAGAAAAAAGAAAAGCTTCCCAACAACTTTTTCTCCCCACCCCCATCTTAGGGGGTGGTGGTGGGGTAAATGCCTGCCGCCACGTGGCCAACCCGGGCGCCCCGCCCCCCGCCCACGTGGCTGCGCCCCTCTTCTCCCTCTTCCCCCAGCCCAAGGGTAGTGCCCCGAACTCTCACTGATGCCGAAGACCATCTGCGCAATCGTGCCTGGACCCGGGGGGTATCCCAGCTTCATGGGCTTCCGTGCCACCCAGTACACGTACCCGCCCGCCCCTATCAGCCCGGACCCGGAGAGCACGCGACAGCTCCAGCAGTTATTAAACAGAGGGGCTTCCGCTGGAGGGGCCGGCCCTCCGGGTGCAATGACGGGCACGGGGTTGGCGGAGGAGGCGACCTCAGGAGGCGCGGCGGAGGAGGCGACATCAGGAGGCGCAACGTCCTTGACTGGCTCAAGTGGCTGGGAAACGAAAGAACCCATGATTAGGACCTCGGTCTCAGCCGTAGGAACCTTCCCACGAACTGACGTAAAAGATGTGCCCGGAAACTGAGCGCTGGCGCGCTGCACCGGAAGCAGCCCGAGGGCCGCTGGGAAATGTAGTTCTTGCCTCGGAGGAGGGAAAAGACGGAGGTGGACTGCCATACGGATGTTCTGTGGCGAAAACCTTGGCCCTGACGGAGGCCAGTTTTTTTTTTCCCTCCCAGTCCTTTTAAGAATTTAGCCAACTCCCTAAATGTCTCAACTCGCAGTCTCCTTAGAGGAAAAGTCTGGGTTTCTAAGTGTCCTGTCTAACAGGAAAGGTGAGACCTCGGGCATGTCACTTCACCTGTTTGTGTGTTTGACTTAAAAAGGTTGGAGGTGTTTGACTTAAAAAGAGTTAAGTAGTTTGTGCCTGACTGTATGCTAGACACTTTGCTAAGCGATTATCTGCACTATGCCATTTGCTATTCCCGACCCAACACGGTATCAGTTTCCCAATACGTGACAAAACTGGTTAGGTGACATAGCCATAGTAGACCCAACGTCTGTGTGAAGATAGAATCAAATTTCTTAAACGCTACCTGTACATAATGTGAAGGGACTACACAAATATAAGACGGGTATTAAAAATGGGTTTGAATTACCTGCATAAACACTTTTAATTTCGCTGTAGCATTTTTCATCCCACCTTTCCTTTCTTTCGGGTAGGGTTGGGTATATGTTTCTTGTGCTGGGTTTTTCTCAGAGGATTATTGGTAAGAACAAAGGCATTTAGAATTCAGAGGTTGTTTCTGTTAGAGAAGATGGGCGAAAGTAGGATTAATTTCAGTTTTGAACTTTTCTCCTTTAGAATGGCTTAAAAAATTAACAAGATAAAAAGAAATTCACTCTTCACCTTTCTAAAATGGTGATGTGATTTTGGGTAGACTAAAAGGACAAAAATAAAGATATGGTTAAATAGGAGAAAATAAAGTAGTGAGAATACTAGACTGCCTGCTGCTTAATTTCTAAGACCATCCCCTTTTCCCTAAAATAAATAAATCAATAAATCTATATCTCCGTGTGTTGTGTAGTAGAAAGACAGACTTTTGGGAAATTTGTGATCTGTACCTAGCTCTGTCACTACGAGTCAGCCATATGACACAGGGAACGTTATTTATTCTCTCCGGCCTGTAGTTACCTCATGTTTGAAATGAGATTTGAAATAGGTGATATCTAACTTCAAAATTCTATTATATATTAGTAATCTCTCTTTAGATAACATTATGCTAAGTGCTGTACCAAATGAATTCAACAGTATTTCGCTTAGAAATTCATAGTTTATGGCTGCTGCTTCTTGCTGTGCTCAGATAAAATATTCTATAATACATTTGATTTCTTCTTATATATGTGAGAAAGAAATAATCATTTGGCAGTGGTTACCAAACATTTTGATTACACTCTATGGATAAAAAAGACTGAGCCAAAAAAAAAAAAGACTGAGCCTGCAATAGAATTTATGCATGCCTATTTATTATTTATAAATTATATATTAATATACTACTTTATACAGTATTATAAGGATAAGATTAAATAATAGGAACGGAAATTTTAATATTTTCTCATATCCCAATAGATGGGATTGTGCATCTCCATGGATATCATGGTTATTAGGTATGTGATTTTACTAATTTATATTTTATCTAAAAGCTTACCTTCTTTAGTGTGCTTGTAACAGCTAAGAATGTCAGGAGATGAGATCTTAAATTCTCCAAACAAATATTATTAGAATGGGCTACAATACTTTTTGCCAATAACAGGCAAGATTTTATTTTAACTACTGTTTTTTTAAAGTGCCTTCCAAAAGATGTGTTTGTTCTCTTATGAGTGCCTCAAATGAATGATTTTAACCTTTTTGTGCTATTGTGATATGCCTCCAAAACTCTCAGTGGCTTCTATGGAGTCCATGTTCTAGAACTGCACATAGTGCAAATTGAAATGTACTTATATAATTTTGATTGGAAAATTATTGGAAACACTGATACCTCTTAAGATAAATGAAACAGTAGGGTCTGAGGATAAGGGTAGAGGCCAGTGAAAGCAAGCAAAATTGTAATTAGAGGAAGAAGTGTGCATTTTGGGGGAAGGACATAGGAGGAAAAGGTTGAAAGCTAACTTTACCTCATTATCTCTATTATATTTATTTCTTTTACTACTTATTATCTCTACAGTTCATTTTGCACGTATGACTCACAAGGCCTATGTCGTCTCCCATAGATTTTAAAAATGCAAAAGGCGTGAAAAGGTACTTAATAAAAAGTATCCTTCACACTCTGTTCCCCAGCCGTCCAGTTCCCCTTCACCAACACAGCCAGCCATACCAGTTTCCTGTGTATCTTTTCAGAGTTATCTCTGTGCACCTGTGTGCACCTTTCCTCCAGTGATCTGGGAGATGATTCTCTAACAGTCAGTGAGTAAAGATCTTCTTCATTCTTTCGTATGGCTCCATAAGCTTCCATTGTATGGATGTACTATACTCATATATTGATGGACATTAATAGACATTTAGACTGCTTCCATTCTTTTGTTATTACATATAGTGCCACAATAAATAACCTTGTGCATACATCATATCACAAACATATACATCTTAGAATATATTTCTAAAAGGGTATAGTATTTATAAGCTTGATGAACAGAATCAAATTACCCTTTATAGAAGTGGTACCAGTTTACACTCTCACCAACAAGTAAGAGAAGACCTGTTTCCCTACCCAATTCCCTAAAAGAGTGAATTATTGAACTTCAGTCTCTGCCAATCTGATAGGTGAAAATGGTTCAATTTTCTTATTATAAGTGAGCTTCTTTATGTGTATTGAAGGACAATTTGTATTTCCTTTTCTGTGAACTGTCAATATTTTTGCCCATTTTTCTCATTGGATTGTCTTTTTCTCATTGATTTCTAGGAACTCTTTATAATTAGTGAGATTAACCTTTTGTTTGTGATATCAATTCACATTTTTTTCTCCCAATTTGATATTTGCCTTTTGAATTTGCTTGTTGTACTTTTTACCATGCGCATTTTTTAAACCTGTAATTGAGTTTATCAGTTTTTACTTTTATAGCTTTTGAGATTCATGTCATAAATAGAAAGGCCTTCCATTTTCTATGGTTTCCCCTGGGATTTTTTTTTTAAACAGTTAAAATTTTAATATGTTTGGAATTTATCCTATTACTAGCTGTCAGGAATGGAATCAGATTTTCTTTTTCTTTTCCTTTTCTTTTCCCTGATCCATTTTTCTCAACACTGTTTATTAAATAGTCCACCTTTTCCCCACCTATTTGAAATACCACATTTTCTAAAATGCCATATATTAATGTATGTCTATTCCTGGACTTCATATTCTGTTCCATGATTTCTCTGTTTATCCATGTGCCAGTGTCACACTATTGTAATTACTGAAGTTCTATAATGGGTTAATACTTGGAGACTGATCCCTCTCTATTACTCTTCTGTTGCAGACTTCTCTTGGCTATTTTTGCTTGTTTATTTTCCCACATGAACTTTTGACTCAGGTTGATTATTCTGACAAAGTGATGCTGACATCTTTATTAGACTAGTGTGAAAATTGTAGGTTAATTTAGGAAGAATTGACATTTTTATGATGTTGAGTCATCCTGTCCAAGGACATGGAATGCTTTTTCTTTGGTTCATATCTTATTGTGTGTTCCTCTGTATCATTTTAGTCTTTTTCATAATGAGCTCACACATTTTCACTCAGACATTTAAAAAAATATCTTTATTGGAGTATAATTGCTTTACAATATTGTGTTAGTTTCTGCTGTATAGCAAAGTGAATCAGCTATATGTATACATATATCCCCATATACCCTCCCTCTTGCGTCTTGCTCCCACACTCCATATCCGAACCATCTAGGTGGTCACAAAGCAAGGAGCTGTGATAACAAGTGCTAAAAACTATACTAAGATAAACATAAAATTCAGAAACTAGTCAGTCATATACAGCAAACCCCAGGTCTACAGTTGCTCCCAAAGTCCGCGGCCTCAATTTTGGGATGATTTGTTGTCGCTTCAGGTGTTCCACAGGTGCAGGGTGCATCAAGCTGATTGTGGAGCTTTAATCCGCTGCTCCTGTGGGTGCATGGAGAAGTTTCTCTTTCTCTTCTTTGTTCGCAGCATTCAGCTTTGGATTTGGCCCCGCCTCTGTAAGTAGGTCACTCTCTGGCATCTGTTCTTCGTCCAGAGAGGAGGGTGTTAAAGGAGTGGATGATTAGGAGGCTCTGGCTCACTCAGGCCGGGGGGGGGGGGGGGGGGGGGGGG